CTGTTTGACTTAAGAGACACCTTCAGCTTTAGTGGGCCGGGAGCAAGAAACAGAGCTGAAACCCAAGGTTGAGGGGCCTTCACCCAGCCCCTAGCGCTGGCACTTTGAACTTGGACTTCTAGCCTCCTAAACTGTGAGAGAATAAATCCTGTTAAAGCCATCCACCTGTAGTATTTTCTGTTAGAGCAGCACTGGAGAACCAAAACAATATGTGAACAAAGCATGCTGTTATGTGCCATCGGGTTGATTCCAACTCATATTAACCCTATAGGGCAGAGTAGAACTGCCCCATAGGGTTTCTTAGGCTGTAATTTTCATGAGAATGGATCACCAGGTCTTTTCTCCTGTAGAGCTACTGGTGGGTCTGAACTACCAACGTTGTGGTTAGCAGCCAGACACTTAGCCATTGCACCACCAAGGCTCCTCAGACGAAGTACATTAAGAATTATTATATATAAAATCCACAAAAGAGTTTAAAGGAATAACTATGAACACTGTGCCTGCCTTGTAAACAATTCTAACATTTGATTTTCTTTCCATATACATACACACGTATCTGTTTATAACTTATTTTTTGCTTTTTATAATTTATTCATTCTTTTTCTGCTGTAATATCTGAAAGTAAGCTGCAGCCATCATTCCTTTTAGCATTTCCTAAAATTGAGAATGTTGTCCCACATAAGCACAATTTATTTATTATATCATGAAAACTAGCAGTAATTCTGTAATGTCATCTGATACACAATTCATATTCAGATTTCCCAGTTGTCCAAAGAATGTTACACAGCCTGTGTTTTCTAACCAGGAAATAGTCCGGGTTCACGCATTTTGTTGTGTTGTTTTATCTTTTTAGTTTTTTTTTCTAGAACAGTTGTAGAATAGTAGTTTTCTTTCCCACTTGACATTTGAAGAATCCAGAATAGTCTTGTCCCACATTTTGGATTTATCTGGTTCTTTTTTCATGGTCATGTTTGACTTGATCTTCTGTATCTCGCATTTCTTTACGGGTCGGATGTCTTGATGATTTTGATGTTTTGAGGATGATAGGCTTCCCTTGTTGTGATCTCTTGCCCTGTTTTGTACCATCCCCTTTGCTGCCCCAGAGCTCTCTCAGGGAGGCTGTATGAGCTCCTTTAGATGGAACAGAGGTGGAGACTTCAAAGGACGCAAGTGGGATACAGACCTGCCCACAGACTCTGCAGTGAGTCCCTACTTTTACTTTATTCTATTTAACATGTTTAAAGTTGGTTTATGTATATTTTATCTTGGCTTTGCTGTTAATTAATTCCATTGGTGTGATGTGCAGTTAATGGAAAACTAGTGATGTCCTGCTTTTTTAGGGTTGCTGTAGAAAAAAAAATGGAGATCTCTAATACTTAGGGGCTAGAAGTGGCGTTTAACACATACATACTGGTAATTCTGTGGCTGCAGTGTTTCAGCTTTTCCTTCTCAGTTTGAAAAAGTTTTATACTTGATTTTCAGTTTGAGAAGGAAACCTTCCTATGAAAGCATACACTAATCTGATGGCAAATGTATCTATTTGAATCGTTCAGTGGATCGTTTGAGTTAAGCCTAGTCTTACCTCTTAAATACACTGACTGCCTTTAAGATTTAAGAGGGGGAAAAGATTCCAATTAATAAATCTCTAATCCTTATAGGAAATAATACTCTAGATTAAAAGAATAGGTATGCTATCTGAATTATGTTTTAGTACTTTTATTCTATAGATTTCACCTTATAAACACGTAGAAGCATTTTGCCAATTTTGTTTTGAGAGAAAATTTTTAATTTGGAGTAGTCATTATGAATACAGATGTTTTAAAAGGGTTTCATCTATGTTAGATTTCTGTGCTGACTTCGAAAAATTGTTTCCTAATCTTTAGATCATCATGCATGTATTCTGCACCTACCTTGATTCCAGATTACCACCACATCCGAAGTACCCTGATGGAAAAACGTTCACTTCTCAGCACTTTGTTCAGACACCAAATAAACCAGGTATAAATTTCTCCTAAGAGAATGAGTTAAGATCTTCACATGAAATATTTTGAGTGTTTTTGTTTTATCCTTTATTTTTCTGTAAATTTTATTTGTTTGGTTACTATTGAGAATATACACAGTAAAACATACACCATTTCAACAGTTTCTCCATGATAATTGAGTGCCATTGACTACATTCTTCATTCTTCGAGTTGTGCAACCTCTCTCTCCCTCCTTTTATAAATCTTCCCTCATTAACAAACACATTGTCCCCTAAGGTTCCTATCTAATCTTTTGAGTTGCTGTTGTCAGTTTGATCCCATATAGATAGTTCTTAAAAGAGCAGGATGCTCCAGGCCAACACTCTTTACTAGGTAAGCTAAACTACTGTTCCATTTTAAGATGACTTCAGGGGATATTTTGATTCAACGTTTAAACATTATCTCAGTTCAGTAGTTTCAGGGGTTCATCCAGCCTCCATGGGTCCAGAAAGTCTGGAGTTCATGAGAATTTGAAATTCTTTTCTGTATTTTCCTCCTTTGATCAAGATTCTTCTATGGAATCTTCAATCAAAATGTTCAGTATGGTAGCCAGGCACCATCCAGTTCTGGTCTTATGGCAAAAGAGGCAATTAGCCACACAGTCCATATCCTCCCCTATTCCTGACTCCATTTCCTCTGTTGTTCCAGGTGAACAGAGAACAATGGTGCCTTGAATGGCCAGTTGGAAGCTTTTAAGACCCCAGGTACTATGCAGCAAACTAGGAGGTAGAACAGAAGCACTAAACATGATACGGGGCCAAATATAGGATGTCCCATGACACAGTGACTCTAAACCAAGAAACCAAATCCCATGAGGTATTTGATTGTACATAAGGAGCTGTGGTAGCATAGTGCCTAAGGCACTTGACTGCTAACCAGAACGCTGGCGGTTCAAACCCACCAGCCACTCCTCAGAAAGAAGGTTGGGCAATCTACTTCTGTAGTGATACTGCCTTCGAAACCCAAGGAGGGGTCGCTATGAGTCAGGTCGGACTCGACAGCACATAACAACAACGACGACAACGCAGCCTCAGCAGCTACTTTTTTTTTCTTTTTCTTTTTTTGGTCATTATAAATGTATTTGTCACACGACTTTGACCAATTCCATTTTCTACAGGTGTGCAACTTAATGACAGCAATTACAGTAATTAACTGTGTAACTATGCCCTTAATCAGTACCATTTTTCCATCACCATTCACCTCTCTCTCCAACCCCTTCTAACCACTAATAATCTTTGGTTTCTTTGATTAAGTGAAGTCATATAGTATTTGTCCTTTTGTGATTGGCTTATTCTGCTCAGCATAATGTCTTCAAGCTCCATCCATACTGTGGCCTATTTCAAGACTTCATTTCTCCTACTAACTGAGTAGCAGTCTATTGCATGTAGGTGCCATTTTGTTTATTCATTCATTTATTGATGGGCATTTACATGGTTGCTACCTTTTGGCTTTGTGAAGAGTGCTGCAGTGAACATTGGTGTGTAGGTCTCTTTTTGACTCTCTGCTTTCAGATCTTTTGAGTATGTACCTAGGAGTGGAATTGCTGGTTATATGGTAGCCCTGTTGTTAGATTTTGAGGAACCACCATACAGTTTTCCACAGCAACTGTACTGTTTTGCATTCTTTTTTTTTTTTTTTTAATGTATTGTGATTTGGGTGAAGATTTACAGAGCAAATTCATTTCTATACAGCAGTTCACATACACTTTGTCTCATGTCATTGACCATGCAACACAATGCAACAGCTCCCCTCCCACTTCCTCCCCATAGTTACCTCTTCCCTCCATACTCTCCTGCCCCCAGAGCTGTCTCCCTGTGCATAAGCAGCCCTTCCTTCTCCCATGATTGTTCTCTCCAGGGTTTGTGTCTACTTGAGGTAAATGTTTAACTCACATGCCTGTACTTTGTTTGGCTGGAAACCACAGGTGTATGTTCAATTCCAGACCTGAAGGGCAGCTAGGGGCTGTAGTCTCAGTGGTTCCACTAGGCTCTATTGGACTAGCAAACCTGGTTCCTGTTTTGCATTCTTACCAGCAATAGATAAGGGTATGTTTTGTATTTTAATGTACACTATTTCCGTTACAGATGTTACAAATGAGAATGTATTTTGCATTTACCAGAGTGCTGTGAATCCTCCCCACTATGAGCTAATCTACCAGCGTCATGTCTACAGTCTGCCGAAGGTACTTCTCTAGGCAGAAGTTAGTATTAGAGGATGTCATAGATGACTTGCTTTGATAATTTTTTAAAATTAGATTCTCTTGTTTATGGAAAAGTTAAACTTTTTAAATTAGAGAAAATGTGTTCCTTGTATATTGTTTTTTAAAACTATTAAAGTAATATATACTTAATTTGGAAAGTATAAAGAAAAAAGAAAAATCACTCATTACATTACACACAGGCAACTACAGTTGTCATTTTGGTGTAGTTCTTTTTGATAAATTTCATTTTGGTCTTTCTAACTTTCTGACGTAATTTTCCATGCCTTTAAAAGTCTTCATAAAAATACTTTCTAATGACCATTAAAAACTTCATCTTAAGATTAGAACATAATTTATTCAGCCATTCCCCTACTGGGCATTTTGGGTGTTTTTAATTCTTTGCTATTCTAAATTTCTAAATACTGCTGAATATTCATCTTTATGCATGAAGCTGCCTGTATTTTAGATCATTTCTTTAGTCCAGAGTTCCAAAAGTGGAATTCTAGTTCACAGTATTTTCAAAGCTTTTAAAATACGTATATTATCAAATTACTTTCTAAAAAGGTCATTATGCCAGTTTACATGTCTGTCCAAATATTTCACTCTCAACTGCAAACATTGTTTCTATTGATGACCTCTTTAATTTTTTTTGTCACTCCAGTCTTTACCAAGACATTTTATATTGGCTGTAATCATAAATTTCATTCTCTGATTCCCAGTAAAAACCAAAAACCAAATTCACTGCCATCGAGTCGATTTCTACTCATAGCAACCCCCACTGGCTTTCTGAGATGGTAAAACTTTACAGATATAGATTGCCCCATCGTTTTTCTGTGGAGCACCTGGTGGGTTTGAACCACCACCTTCTGGTTAGCAACCAAGTGCCTTAGGCACTATGCCACCAGAGCTCCTTCTGACTCCAAATAGGGGATATTAATTTCATTTTTTTCAAGTTTAGCATTGTAACTTTGTAAGTGTATAAATATTTTGATCCATTGACATTCCTGTTTAAATAAACACTTACATCCTCAGATTCTTGAGTAGAAGGACTAAATTAGAGTGAACAGGTAGAAAGTTAATAAATTGAAAAGCTGAATTAGGAGCTATTTTTACAGACCAGCAATTCTGTATAATTTTATGGAGGAAGCGTATGTGCATGTTATAAAGGCTGCCACGCTCAGAATAGCCCACTTCTCCAAAACCAAAGCCACTTGCTGTCCAGTTGGTTGTGATTCATAGTGACCCCATGTGAGAGTAGAGCTGCCCCATAGGGTTTTCTTGACTGTAATCTTGAGTAGAGGAGATTACCAGGTCTTTCTCACTTGGAGTGGCTGGTGGGTTCAAACCACCAACCTTTTGGTTAGCAGCTGAGCACTTAACCATTGTGCTGCTAGAGCCCTTTCTCTTCTTTCTGGGCCGTCATGAATGCTGTTGTCCATGTATGAAACCCCTCAATGTGATCATCTGCTTCTCATCTTTCATACCTCAACTTAAAAGGCTCTTGGGGAGACACATACCTGCCCCATCCCTCCTCCCTTCTGTATCCACACAGTACCTTTGCCCCTCCTCTCCTGACAGTCATCACAGCTTACTGTAACCCTGCTTTACTGCCTGCCCTTCCTGATAGATTGGAAGGTCTTTGATTACATGGATCTGTTACATCTTATTCACCACAGTATTCCCACTCCCTAGCACAGGTAATTCTGTAATCAGAATTATCTAGATTCTGAGTTAGTAGAATGTGAATTAGTAGGCTCTGCATTTACCTACCAGATTGAACCTTTGCTTTAGTTTGGTGTAAATCTTACCATTTTTTTTGTCTTTATTCCAGGGCAGAAATAATATGTTTCATACATTGTTAATGTTCCTCTACATCATAAAGACCAAAGAGTCAGGAATGCTTGGGTAAGTGTTATGCTTTAAAGCTACAAGTACTTCATTTGTTTACTCTTTTTCTTCCTTTGTTAAGATTTTCAGAAGGCAACATCATATACTGAAAAGACTTGTGGTCTGAGTAACAAAAGAAGTATGACTTCTAGTACCAGCTTCACCCTGCAACCAACTAGCTCCGTGACCTTGGGCAAGTCCATCAGCCCCTCAGAACCTCCATTGCCCTATTGGTAAAAAGGCATTTGGATCACATCATTGCCTTTAAAATTGTGTTGCCCAGAGGAGCAACTCTGAGATAGATACATGTCAGGCTCTTGCCACTTGAAAGTAAGAAGAAATACGTGTCAATTTTTGCAGCCTTTGTCTTCCAGGCACATGACCTTCTGCAAAATGTTCACACTTCCAGAGTGAGCTGGTCCCTGTTTTCGGTATTGTTAACTGGGTTGGAAAAGACAGCCACCCAAAATTATTTATTCCCTTAACTCTATAAATACTCAGTAATGAAGCTCAAATATTGTTATAACCAATTCAAAAGTGCTATATTGTTATTTTTTTATTATCCTAAACTTTATTGTATCAAATAATATTTTTAAAAAATTGGACTCCAGTTTCAGTCTGGTTATGCACAGGAGTCTGAAGACTTGGGTTCTGGTTTCTGCTGTGCCCTCCCTAAGTAACGTTAGGTGACAAAATGGAAGGGCAAAAGGCTTGGAATAGAAAATGTCTATAGTCACTCCCAGCTCTGATATGCTGTGCCTCTTGTCAGTTTTATAATTGCGAGGTTATACGTGCTTTAAAACTGTTGGGTGCTGTGCAGGAGCCATTAGCCACATGTGGCGCTGAGCACTTGAAAAATGGCTCGTCCAAATTGAGATGCTCAGTAAGTATAAATATATGTACCAGACTCTGAAGACCTGGTAAGAAAAAAAGAATATGAACTATCTATCTCTTCAATAATTTTATCTGTTGTCTGCACATTGGAATGATACTTTGTATTGCATTAAATGAAATATACATTGATCCTCATTATTCACGGATTCCACCTTTGCAAATTCACTTAATCACTAAAATTTATCCGTAACCCCAAAATTGATGCTCAGGGTGCTTTAGTCATCTGTGGGTATGCGCAGAATGACAAAAAACTTGTGACACCTTACTGGCACATTCCAGCTGAGGTCGAACAAAGGCCCCTTCATGTGTCAGCTCTCGTGCTGTAAACAGATGGCCTTTTGGAGTCTATTTAGTGCCAGGTTTTTCACATTTCTGTGCTTTTGTTGGTGATTCCACTGTTTAACATCCCCAAAGCATAATTTTCACCCAAATCACAATAAAAATTAAAAACAAGAAGCACCTCCCAAGCAGAGTGCTGAAGCGCTGCCTAGTGTTGTGGGGCAAGAAGCTGTGTTGCACCTCATGGTGGAAATAGGTGTGTTAGGGAGCCTTGGTCCAGGCCCGACTTGCATTGCTGTTGATGTGAGTTCAATCTTAATGAGGAGCAATGTATTTTAGATAAGTCTTTAAATAGAAACACGTATAAACCAAGGTTCTGTATTGATTAGTTGATGAAAATGTTGTCACCAGAGACCCGTAGGAACTTAACCCTGTGTTCCCCAAGAGCAGCTGTTCAGTACTTGCTAATTCATTATTTTCAGAGATTTCATAGCACCCTGCTACCACAAATGATGGGAATTGACTGTATTAATTAAAATAATTTTTTATTTTTATTAATTTTTTACATCTCTTCTAGAAAATTTAAAATGACTCACATGGCTTGCGTTGTGACTCACATTCTATTGCTCTTGGACAAGCACCGCTCTAGAGAAAGCAAAGCTATTGTCCTTCCACATAGTAGACACAAAGATTCAAACAAATGAACAGAATTTTGTAAACGTTTGTATTTTCTGTCACACTTTATTTTAATGCAAGGAAAATAGGAAACTCATTTTTGTGATACCTAAACTAACATGGTACTTTTTATTTTCGATTACAAAAATAATACATGAAAAAGAAATAACGCACGCTCACTATCAGAATACAGCAGTAGTACATCAGTGTGTAAACTAGAAAGCACATACTCCCCTCAGCCTTCCCTCCTCACGACACCAAATGGTAACACTGGTAGGAGGATGTTTCCAGACTGGTCCTGGGAATAAGTTGTTTTTGCTTTTTTAAACAAAGATGTAACAAAATGGATTACTCGATAACCTGCTTTTGAATGTTTTGGTTTATCTTAGACATTTTTCCATGTCAGTACAAATACAGATTTTTTTGTAAAATTTCTAGGAATATTTATAAGCATGGGCATGTATACCTTGAGAAAAACATAGTTATCTATACAATATTGTTTGTAATTGTTCACTTATCAGTGTTTCTGACAGGCCATTTTGAAGTGAAAAATTAATTTAGAAACATTTTGAATGAACAACCAATTTTTAAATTTTAATTGAAAATACATCTTTTCCTCTCTAGATCCAAATTGATATTTTGATGCATTAATGATTTACCACGATAGTATGAAGCTTGTGTCCATTGCCATAAACAATTTGTCATATGAGTAAAAATGGAGAAGGTTTAAAAGTACTGAGGAGGGGGTGTCAGTTATTCAGAGGCCAAAAAGAATTGAGGCAGTGTGTGAAGTGCTTGTCGCCTCCTCGTGAGCAGCTTGTATGTGGGAAACAGGGAAACGAACGTTTTTGACTAAACACAATAACGTTCTTTATTTGGTGGTGGGTTTTTTTTTTTTTTTTTTTAACTAAACCAAAAACTTTGAAGTTATTAATCTTTTTAATATTACTGATTAATCTTTTTAATACATCCTAAAATAAAACAATCAAATGGTTAAAAACTACTAGTCTGTAATTTAAAGGAAATAAATGAATGGTTCAAATATGGTCCATTTGGAATCCTGCCCATAAAGCAGCACATTGATCCAAATACATTATCAGAGCAGTGCCAGATATTTATACGTTTACTGGAATGAGATGAATGTTTTACTTCCAAAAAAGGGAAAATCTAGACAGAATTGATTGCACAGTAATTTAAATGCTCTGTTCAGCGAAAGACACTATAACTAAAGTTTAAAGCTAAATAACAAATAGTTGCAACTTATATAGCAAACACAGGTTAATATCTGTCATGTATAAAGAACACATAAATTAATTACAAAAGAAAGTACATAGAAAAATGGGCTAAGTCATGAATAGGCAATTCACTAAAAAGTTTTGTGCAGATGGCCAGTAAATATAGACAGTTGCTTAACCTCTTGTAAACCAGCACAGATCAAAGCACTCTGTCAAACCAAAGTTGATACATAGTGCTGGTCAGTGTGAAGAAATGAGGAAAACAGTTAACCTTTTTGAAGTATATTTGGTAATATGTCTATATTTTTACTATTTCATCAAAGGTAATATGCAGTTTAAAAAGCCATATAGTGCCCACACTTCATGACAAAAAAATGGCAGTTGTCTGTATTCCCCACTTCACTTCCCAGAAGCAACCACTTTAAGTGTTTTCCTTCTAATAGTCACTTCCTTGTTCCAAACAACAGATACGTGCTCTTTTGTTTCTTCAGGTTGGAGCACTGTCTGCGGATTCGCTTTGTTAAGTAATCTCTCTCCCTAGTCCTCTTCTCTTCCTCCCACGCTTTCAGTACATTATGCTCCTGTCTAGAATAGAAGTAAATTGTTTATTTGGCATACTCGGTGTCCTTTGGTTTAAGATACAGTAATGACACACTCATAGATTCATTAAAGCATCCCTAATAATTTGTGAACCACTAATTCAGATGAGTTAGGCTACATTCTCTTAAGAGAGAGAGCATCTCGATGGCCTCCACTTGGTACATTTAATTTGCACTTCAACCTTCTCACTAAAATTTGTTTTGTCTGCACTCTCTGTTATCTGGTGTAATAGTTGTTAAAGTCCACTCCATAAACCCATTTATTCTGAATTTGGGTCTTAAGCACAGTGTTAGTCAAGGTAGTAATTTCTGTTAGGAGAATTCATTTAATAAACCTGTGTAACACAATTCATTGCAGAATAGCATTAAACGTCATCAAACATAATCCTTGTAAAGTCTTGTTTTAGTTATTAGGAAAAACTTTAAATGCTTTGCAATCAGTTCCATTAAAACTTTTTTTTTTTTTCTTTTTATAGGAGAGTTAATCTTGGACTATCCGGTGTGAATATTTTGTGGATTTTTGGCGAGTAGTGGGTCATTTAGTAGTTCCACACATTTGGATTTTTAGTTGAACAAGAAGTTGTTGAATCTAAGCGTCTCTTAGTAACCGCCTCTTCTGGGTGTATGTTACAGACTCTTAGATTTTACAAAAAATGAGCTATTATGAAACTTGATTGTAGAAATACGTCCTATACACGCCTCACCAAGCCATACTACCTTCGATTTTAGATCACATTTCAGATTTTGTTGACCAACAGCAGCATCTGTCTTCCTTAATTAAATGAAAGTTCTTTTCTGTAGCCTTACATGGCTGCTTCTACCACAGAATGTTCCAGTCATGTCATTTAGTGTAAATACCAAAAAGAGAAAGGCAAATTACTTATTTCATATTTGTATCTCTTTATTTCCCCAGTCTTCTGACAGTCAGCCCAAGGTTTGTCTGCAAGGAAATGAGATTAACTGCTAAGTGATATATTTTTAGATACTGTTAAAGGGTGTGCATGTTGGCATTAATGGATTCAGTTGAGCTGGTCGAATTTATTTGTTTGGCTCTGAGGACAGCAAGGAAAGTGTTCACTGTTTTAGCTTGAACAACTCCCTGTCACTATTCAGTTACTTTAATAGTGTTTCTCTTTAAGAACACAGTGATGTCCTATCTCAGATTGTTGGATATATGTAGAGTGTCCAGAGTGAGGAGTTAGCAAGGGTGTCAGTTTTGCTTGGCTCCCCATCTGTATGTCTGGGTAGCAGCTCTGAGGCTAGCAACTGTACATAAAACCAGCATCTTCTCAATAACTCTGTGTCAGCCTTCTATTGGCATCCCATTTTGCATCATTTGTAAATTCTGATTTTCAAAAAGTTGTTCCTGTTTTTTATAAGTCAGATATCCAAAGGGAAGGAAGATGTTATGACTTCCTGTCTTTTAACTGTTTTTTATGAATGTTAAATATATTTGTTATGATATTTTAGAAGAAAGTATCAATTAAACATGGTAAATATAAACTCACTGCTGTTGAGTTGGATCCCTCATAGTGACCCCCTCCTTGGGTGTCCAAGGTAGTATCACTATGGAAGTAGATTGCCCAACCTTCCTTCTGAAGAGTGGCTAGCGGGTTTGAACCACCAGCCTTCTGGTTAGCAGTCAGATGCCTTAGGCACTATGCCACCAGAGCTCCTAATTCAAAGCTAGCTATCAAAAATATACAAAATATAGTAAATGTATATGTAAAAACAGTAGGAGTATGTGCTGGGAAAAGAAAAAAAAAATGTTTGTTTGCATACTAAGTCCAGTGTGGGTTACTATACTCTGAGTAGCTTTCCTAGAGTAACTTTTCTTTATGAATGTTTGCATTAACTTGTACTTAAATAAGTTATGTAGCTTTTAAAAAAAATACTTTGGTGAATTTGTGCACTTCAGGATGGTTGTGCACTGCAGATACAGTAGATCTTTTGGTCCCTGTGTTGAAATGAGCATATTGTACCTGCCCAAAACAAAACCAAACCCACTGCCACCAAGTTAATTCTGACTTACAGTGACCCTACAGGACAGAGAACTGCCCCATAGGGTTTCCAAGGCTGTAAATCTTTACAGAAGTAGACTGCATCATCTTTCTCCCATGGAGCAACTGGGGGGCTTCGAACCTCCAACTTCGTGGTTACCAGCTGAGTGCTTTACCACTTCACTGCCAGAGCTCCTATGTTATGCCTACTTTTCTCTTATTAAATATCATTTATAGGCTATTTGTCACAAGTTTTTCTTTTCATTGCTTGATTTATCCTTGGTGGGATCAAATATATTTATCGTCTAGATTTATGTTCATGTATCATTTATCAGTTTTTCCCCTCTTAAGCTAGGTGTATTTTAAGGGCATACTGAAGTATTTAAATTCTCATTTAGTTCCTACTGAGACATAGAAAAGCTATGTTGCTTGGCTTTCTCACACTAATACGTACATACTTTAAACTGGTGTTTTAACAGTGATGACATCCTGCATGTAGGGTGCCACTTCTACACTGAGCTTTGCCATAGAAATCCTTTAGATGTGGGTGCTGCTAAGTGACTGCTCTCTGGTCCTCTGAGTCACTGGATATGCTGCTCCTTAGAGATCGAGTCCACTGCCTGGCTCCACATAGCCCCTCTCTGCATTTGAGTCCCAGTGCATCACTGACTGTGGCTTCTCTCCCGGGCCTTGGTGGTCCATTCCAGTTGCCAGTCAGACATTTCCTCTTGCATCCTGCAAACTATCCGTCTGAAACTGAGTCCACATCTGCTGAACAGCTCCTTCTTCCCGCACGCCTTTTTCTGCTCATTGTGCTACCAGTTGCCCACGCTCAAAACTCTGGTGTCATCTCTGATTCCTTGAGCTCCCTGGGTCCCCAGTCCAATCAGTCAGCAAGCGTCATCCATTCTTTCTTTACAATGTCTCTTGCAGCTGTCCCTCTCCATTCCTGTCACCACCACTCTCATTTACACCCTTATCAACTCACACAGGACTACTGCACCGGCCCAATTAATCTCACAGCCTCCTAATTGTTTCATGCTCCCAGGCTTTCCAATTCATCCTACACATTCACTTCAAATTCATCTTCCTGCAACACCTGTTTGATGGTTTCATTCCCCTGACGAATTCCTTAGCCTGACATTTAAAGCCCTCCACAATCTGGCCCAGCCTGGCCTCATCCCCCCAGTTCTTGGCTCTAGCCCGCACAGGCTGCTCCCTGCTTGCTGGGCTCTCTGCTTGCTGCCTGCTGCTCATCCTGATCGCTCTCTGGGGACACCCCCTCCCACTGAACAGCATGCCCAGGCCTGGAGACTTTGCTCTAATTAAACCTGCCATTTGGAGCAGGTCCTGAGTGCTCCAGCTGGAAGGCGGTACACCCTGGAGTGATGAGGTCTGTGCCATCACTTTGGTGCTTAGCAGCCACTAGAATGAATTCACAAGTGACTTGTGGCCCCTTGCAGTGGTTCCTCACATTTTGTCTCATCCTCACAAAAGAACTGATTTGATTTTGTCCTGTTCTTCAGGAAGACTTGATGACTAAAATCATGAAATCAAACGACATATTCCATTGGGCAAATCTGCTGCCAAAGACCTCTTTAAAGTGTAAAAAAGCAAAGATGTCACTTTGAAGGCTAAGGCATTCAAACCCAAGCCATGGTATTTTCAGTTACCTTGTGTGTGTAAAAGCTGAGCAATGAATAAGAAAGACCAAAGAAGAATTGATGGCTTTAAGTTACGGCATTGGTGAAGAATACTGAATGTACCGTGGACTGCCAGAAGAACAAACACATCGGCTTTGAATAACTACAGCCAGAATGCTCCTTGGAAGCCAGGATGGCAAGACATCATCTCACGTACTTTGGACACGTTATCAGAAGGAATCAGTCTCTGGAGAACGACATCTTGCTTAGTAAAGGGTCAGCAAAAAAGAGGAAGACCCTCAACAAGATGGTGTGACACAGTGACTACAACAGTGGCTCGAACATTGTGAGGATGGTGCAGGACTGGGCAGCGTTTCATGTGTGGTATATAAGATCGGTTGTTAGGGTGGCTCTGAGTCAGAAAAGGAGCTCTGGTGGCACTGTGGGTAAAGCATTGGCTGCTAACCAAAAGGTCAGCAGTTCAAACCCACCAGCTGCTCCGTGGGAAGATGAGGTAGTCTGCCGCTGTAAAGATTTACAGCTTTGGAAACCCTCTGTAGCAGTCCTACTCTGTCCTATAGGGTTGCTATGAGTTAGAATTGACTTTGACTTCAGTACCAGTGGGTTTGGGTTTGGGTTTGGATTAGGGTTTGGGTTTATGAATCAGAAATAACTTGAGGGCACCCAACAACAGTAACAAAGTAATGACAATCACAGAGGACATCTGAGCTGCTAGTTCCACTGGCTCCCTTTCTGCTTAGGCCTGGGCAGCTGCAGCAGGGACTGCTTGAAGAGTAAAGGTGGCAGGAAAACAAGGTAGTCAACTCTTGAGGACTTCCTTGTGACCTGGGAGTGTGACTACTGCATTCATAGGCAGCGGTACCTGCCACAGGGCCACCACTTAATCGGGCCCTGGGAGAGGCTGGCTGGCCCACCCATCCCCCAAGTGGCTTCAGTCGCAGCTACCCCTGACTGGCTTCACCAGAGTCCTTGAGGGTAAGCAGCGGAGGGCTAGGTCTAGCACGAGAACTTCTGGGAGGATGGGGGGGGGGGGCTTTACCCACCTAGGAGAAAACAAAAACCAAAGTCACTGCTGTGGAGTCAGTTCGACCCATAGTGACCCCTCCTTGGGTTTCCGAGGCAGTATCACTACGGAAGTAGATTGCCCAATCTTCCTTCTGAGGAGTGGCTGGTGGGTTTGAACTGTCAGCCTTCTGGTTAGCAGTCAGATGCCTTAGCACTATGCCACCAGAGTTCCTAGGAGAAAGGGTTTGCACATGCTCCTTGAGCCCTGGTGGCGTCACCCTGTCTCACTGGGCTACATGCAGGACTACTGGGCATGCACTCTGAACCACATCTCAGATTTGCTCCCTGCACAGTCCACCAGTAGTTACAGGCTGAGTGAGCTGTACTGATCCTGGGTGGGGTAGGTCATGGATTCTGGGGAGGCCGGTCCTCCTCCAGGGCAGGGAGGAGGAGCCCCTGCAGCTGGGTGGGTGTCAGTGGCTTAGCTGGTTCCTGTGCTGCATGCGTTCCCAGGTTCCCAGGTGTGGCTATGGCTGGAGATAAAGAGCCAAGTGAATCCATCCATGCCCCCAAGCCAAATAAACTGAAGCCGACTGAGAGAGCTATGTCCCTAATTGACAGGCAAGTCACTTCCACTGTGGTTTCTGATGATAAGATAAATATACTTCCAACCTCAGCTGATTGAGAAACTCAAATAACTGGTGACAGTGCTGTTAGGTGAAGGAAAAATGGCTTTAGAAAGTCTTCGAAAATAACATACTGTCAAACTAGCAAGTGGCCCCGGGGCATTTCCCATTCTTGGCTCACACGTCAGGCCCTGACAGTTGTACCCTTCCCTGCCCCCCTGGCCCAGCTGTGTGCT